CAAGATGAGTCAGAAAATGGTCAAGGACGGCCCCAGGCTCTCCAAGAACCAGAAGTTCTCAGAGCACTTCAGCATCCACTGTTGCCCGCCCTTCACCTTCCTCAACTCCAAGCGTGAGATCGTGGACCGCAAGTACAGCATCTGCAAGAGCGGCTGCTTCTACCAGAAGAAGGAGGAGGATTGGATCTGCTGTGCGTGCCAGAAGACCAGGTGAGCGCGGGGTCTGGGCCAGGTGTGCGCCACATCCCCCAGCTCCACGACTGTCAGCTCTCTGTTAGGAAGGCACTGGAGGGCAAGCGGAATGGCGGCGGGAGGGAGGGCAGGGGCTTTCTGCTGTTTCCAGCTCTGGCCAGCATCCTTTAAGAACCGGTGCGGAGCCCGGGCCGCAGCCTCCAGCTTCTTTTGGCCCTCTCTGCACCAGCCGCCGTGCCAGGTCTCCTCAGAGGCCCAAGCACCAGCCAGCTGCATCCCCCGTGGTGGTCAGAGCGCCGCCAGCCAAGCCAAAGTCCCCTCCGAGGCCAGCCAAGCCAAGGTCCCCTTCGAGGACTGAGCGCCAGCCGCGTCCCCGCCCAGAGGTCCGACCACCACCAGCCAAGCAGAAGCCCAAGCAACCAGCACGCAGCAGCCCCGTCAGAGGGCCAGGCACCAGCCGTGGGGGGTCTCCCACCAGAGCTTCTAGGTTCTGGTAACACCATCTCTTCCCTTTCGTTTCCCCCTAGCCTAAGGTCAGTAGCCGCTCTCTGCAATTACTAACGTGGGGGATCTGTCCAGGGTACTGAGCCTGTGTAATCCATTGCCCACATTAAACCCCCTCTGTTTGAAACACCTGGCGTGGCTTCTGTTTTTCCTCCCAGATGTTCTTGGTCCTCCCTTCTGATGGCTGTGTCTGTGCCATCCCATAAGACTGCAAGTCACTAATTTACCAGCTCCTGCTATTGACCACGGCAGCAGAATGCCCCTCCCCCGCTTGCTCCTCAGAGAGGAGCGGTGACACCGATGAGCTGTATCTGTGCCGGTGTGAAAGGGGAGGGCCCACGGCTGACACATGCCATCATACATTAGCCTCGGTGGCAATGTGGCTCATTGTTTTGTTCAGCCAGTCACTCAGCAGACCGTACTGCCTATTTATAAGGGTTTACACGTTGTGCCGGGGAAAGGGATATAATTTGTGATTTCCGGGTACCAAGGAAGAGACTAGCTGCCACACTAGTATATGGCCTGTGGGAGCCCCAAACAGAACTGTACCTTCTGCTGTGGGAGTCTGAGACTTCACAGGAAATTAGGCTGGAGAGGGCAAACTGGAGAAGGGTGGCCAGAGAGTCGTCTGTCCACCTGCTCTGCCTCAGGTGGACCAGATTTTCTTCTCTTTTTTTATAACTTGTTTAAATTTATTTTATGTGCATTGGTGTGAAGGTGTCAGATCCCCTGGAACTGGACAGTCGTGAGCTGCCATGTGGTGCTGGGAATTGAACCCGGGTCCCCTGGAAGAGCAGCCAGTGCTCTGAATCACTGAGCCATCTCTCCAACTCTTCTTTTCCTCTCCTTCCTCCTCTCCCCTCCCCCTCCCTTCCCCCTCCCCCATCTCCTCCTCCTCTTCTTCTTCTTCTTGGTTTTTTGAGACAGGGTTTCTCTGTAGCTTTGGAGGCTGTCCTGGAACTTGCTCTGTAGACCAGGCTGGCCTCGAACTCACAGAGATCCGACTGCCTCTGCCTCCCGAGTGCTGGGATTAAAGGCGTGGGCCACCAATGCCCGGCTTCTTTTCTTCTCGAGACAGGGTCTCACACCGTAGTTAAGCTTGGCCCGGAGCTTACTCTGTAAACTCATTAAGATCCCACTGCTTTAGACCCCCAAATGTTTGGATTGCAGATTGGCCACCATGCAATCCTCCTCATCCTCCTTCTCTCTTCTTCTCTACAGACTTTATTTTTGGTACAGTTTTGGGTCTATGGCAAAATTGAGGGAGGGAAGACAGAATTCCATCCCCTGCCCCCATACACATGGCCAACAACACTTTAATATTTGGGAATAGATTTGTTTGGTGAGTCAGTGGTGAGCTCTAGCTGTGACTACATCCTCTCCACTCTGCTGCTCAGGCCCTGTGCAGCGTTCTGGAACCCTCCTGAGAATTTCATTCAAGTGTCACCGGTGAAGCTTGGGGTTGTCTTCATTTTCAGACACAGCAAACAAGTCTGACTTAAATATCCCTAAATAAATCACCCACATCATCTGTGGCAGCCTCCGTGTTTGTGACGCCCCAAATGAGAGCATTGGTGACTTGCAAGGTCATTTACCTGGCAAAGGGACAAACTGGCTACTAAAGCCTTACCAGAGAGGTGAGCCCAGGCTGACTAGTCACTAGGTGCCTCCAAGGGACTGGAGTAAAAGTTCCTCCGACTGACTTTTGATACACAGAAGGGGCTACAGAATGTAGGCAGTTGAGGTCGTTAATTCATAGACAAGAGGCAGCCCTTTGAAGAAAGTCAGTCTCTGGCATTTTGGGTGGTTGGAGTACGAGCTGGAGTGGAAAGGTCATAGAAGACCGTGAGAATAAACTCCATCTCAGACACGGGTTTGTCTGGACCAGTCTCGCTCACTATAGTCACCAAACTCAGAGACATCAGTCAAGATGTCTCCACAGGCCATGTGTGCCTGTGCCCTAACTCCCTGGGAATCAGGACTAGCTTCCTAAGGTCATGCTATCACGCACCCTCTGAACTCTGCTTGAGATACTCATTTCCCCTTCTCTGAATCCCAGAGATCCTAAGGAAATGCACTAGAATAGGCATTTAACCACCGTACTGTTTATTCCCTTTATTGATCTGATTGACTATTTCAAATCAGAGATGTAGGAGGCTGCTTACTCTCAATCAGGGCAGCTAGGCCAGACCTTTAAGATGGGTTAAAAGGAAGTTTGTTTGAAACTGGCGTACTTTCAGATATGATGCCATTCCTGAGGTATCATGTGAAGAGGTCAGACAACTTAAACAAAGACCTTTTTGGATATGTAACAATTCCTTTGAGTGGGTTGTATCCAGAAATCCAGACACCAGAGAATAACCCGGTTTTTAGAAATGAATGGGTTTGGTCTCCCACATCTCAACAGAAGGTCGGAGCATCTTTTTGTTGATGGGAGGTGGTCCTGGCATGTCCCTTCTAGTTTATTCTTTCCCAGGCCTTTGAGATTTGGGATTTAATGTCAGGAGCTAAGATTATGGAGCTGTCACTGTAAGATACTGCCACTCTAGGCCACTCTAGGAGATTCGATCCACAGCCCAGAGAAACCCAGTCACACAATTAAAGTATACAACTTCAATTTCCACTGTCCTTTATTACTAGTAAAAAAAAAAAGGTAGTTTACTTTTGCACATTGATCTTATATATTGTGATTTTATTTATTTTAGCTTTTTTTTTTGGTAGAGCCTGGGTTTTATACATCATAATCATGCCCTTCAGTAGAGAGAGTTGCATACCTAATCTTCATACCTAAGTGTCTATGTTTGGCGCAGCTGTCTATGCTGAAAACATATTTTGAGATATGGCTTGGTGTCTTCACGGTTTATTGCCAAGCTAGAGGATGACCCCAGATGTGCTTTGGAATACTCGCAGGAGTCCTGACCTCTGCTAGACTCTCTGTGGCAGCAATTGTCAGTCATTAGATACTGAGATCACCCTGGTGGTCAGTGGGAGAACGCACTGGAGCGCTGGGACCCAGTTTATGCGATACATTCAACTCTGATGAGCATTTAGAGCCAGTCTGTTTGTGGAGGAGCCACACTCCTATGGAGACCTCCCACGGATGGATTTAGGGCACTGGCATCCCCAACCCTGCAGGGTCCTGAGCTGTTTGTTTCTTCTGCTCTGTTAGATGGGCAGTCTTTGTAACTTCAAGCTTTCAAAGCTACGCTAGGGTCAGATGAGGGCATTTTACATGAGGATTGACTCTCACAGGCTACTGTCCTCTAATCTTCCTATTTTGCATGGTGGGGACAAATGAGGAGTCAGGTATCTCCTGCAGGCAGAGCATTCTTCCCTTGCATCTAGGGAGTCGTCATTGCCATCAGCGGTAAACACGTGTGAGCCCATTGTCTCACAACCCCTCACACTTCCTGCTGAGCAGATAGACGGCCGAGCTCTGCTAGATGCTTTTGACACATCCATCCTCATGCAAGGATTTGTTTACGTCTGTGGTCCCCTGCAGGACTGTGTGTAATTAGGCAATCTTACACTCATCTCTCCAGAGCCCAACTCAGGGTTTGGCTGATGGTAGTGACCAAATGATAGACCTCATAGTCTGACACAGCACAGGGTGGATGTCCTCATCAGGTTTGCATCCAAGCTTTTAGGTAAACTGTGACCAGCGCTTGTCTGGGCCCGCACATTTGTAATCAATTTACTCAACGTTGCTTATATTTTTGAATGCAGTTCATTCCTATTAAGTTAGAGACATGTCAACCTGGTCAGAGTTTTATAAGAATTCATATACTCTCCATGTATGTGCACACGTTTACAGTTAAGTTCATGGCATCAGTCACTGTTTTCATTGCTGTGACAAGATATCTGGGAAAGCGATGTCAGGAAGGTTTGTTTTTGACTTACAGTTTGAAGGGACACAGTCCATCGTGGCAGGAAGTCATGGTGGCAAGAATGTGAGGCAGTGGGTCACATGGCATCCACAGTCAGGAAGCAGAGAGAGAGAGAGAGAGAGAGAGAGAGAGAGAGAGAGAGAGAGAGAGAGAGAGAGAGAGAGAGAGAGATGAATGCTGGTGCTCAGCCCACTTTCTCCTTCAGATTCAGTCCCAGGGCCCCAGCCCATGATCTGCTGAGTCTTCTCATTTATACCTTTCTGGGAACACCTACACACACACACACACACACACACGCACGCACACACACAAGCACACACATACATGCACACACTTGCACGCATGCACAAACACACAAAAAAATAAAAATAAGTAATCCTTTAAAAAGGCTCATGAAGTCACAGTTGTATTAAATACTGTACAGGAAGTGGACACCACTTACCAGTTTGTGAAACTTTCTTTTTCTCTTTATAAATCAGATTGAAAAGGAGGAGCAGGTCAACCCCAAGAAAAAAGTGACGGAGAAGGGTTTTCCGGTGAATGGACAGCCTCCTCCTGCGGACTTACTTCGTTGAAAGCCCTCGACCCTCAGCCAAGCTCTCTGGCTTCGAGAACGATGCAGTGTCAGCCCCCTGCTGATGTGACGTCTACAGATGCCCTCAGTCCTCCTGGTGTGGGAGCCTCAGGGCAGCCTGCCTGGAGGTGAGGAGGGGCCTCTTTGCACCACACTCCGTCACGGAGTCCTGAAAGGACCCTGTAGAAGGGGCCTTTTCTCCATTATTTCCGGTCCCACTGGACTGGTTTTCTCTCTGCCCACCGGGTCCCGCAGCCCCTTATGAAATCACCACTCTGAGGCTGAATATCAGTTATGGTTGTTTGGCCAATGACTCAGGCTTCTTACTGGCTAGCACTTTCTTAAAATATCAACCATTTCCACTAATCTGTGTATCACCATGTGGTTGTGGCTCACTGGTGATGCCCTTGAATCCCCCCACCCCCTACACAGCATCTCCTTGGCCCCGCCTTCCTTCGCTCTCTGTCTTTGCTAGGATTTCCCACCTGGCTAAATTTTGCCAGTCCATTGGCGGAAACAGCATTATTCATCAACCAATTTGCAGCTTACAGAAGGACATCCCACCACATCAGGACCCCACTTCAGGGCTCCAGAGCTCAGAGAAGGGGGCTTTTGGTTTCCTCTCTAGCCTTTTCTCTCTGGCAGGTGCACGGGCTTCCAGGGTCTCTGGCAAAGGTCTGCAGTGCTAACCCACGCACATTCCTCCTCCTCTCTGTCCCCCTCTGCCCCTGCATCTGGCGGCTGAACCCCTGGCTCCTGATCCTCAAACCCTCTTCTCCCTGATTCTCTGCCTGGGCTCCTCTTCTTCCCATGCCCGCTTGCCTTCTGTTTAGCCTTCTTACTCAGCAGCCAGAGCCAGAGTGGACCCTGGTGAAGGTCCATGTGATTTTAAGATAAGATACTAATGTCATGTGATGTAAGTGCTAAAATATTCCTAGATGGAAGGAGTCACGTTAAATCCCACATCAGATGTATCAGAAACAGAGAAAAGGGCAGAAGCGATGGCCTCCCTTCCCCTCTGCAGGCCCCAGCCTCACACAGGGCTTTGCAATCAGCTCCTGCCCCTGCCTGGGTGAGAACAGCCCATTTAAAGCACTGCCTTTGAAATCTTGTCACCTGCACAGTTAGCACTCACCTGGATAGCTCCCTGTCACCTGCATGGCCCTGTCACCTCTACAGTTAGCACTCACCTGGATAGTTCTGGTCACCTGCATGGCTCTGTCACCTGCACAGTTAGCACTCACCTGCATAGCTCCCTGTCACCTGCGTGGCCCTGTCACCCGCACAGATGCACAGATTCATTACTAGCACAGCTCCGACTGCTATCAAATTAGAAAACTTAGAAAGGTCATATGGCTTCAGCCCTGCTGTCCCATCCCCTTTCCTCCCAGGAGGGACTCTGGACCCAGGTAGATGTCCCTAGACACTTGAACATGATCTGCTTCCCAATCCAAATTCCCCAGATTCCTGGGGAGATAGGAGGCCTGGTGCCCCAGTGCCTCAGAGCTTTGCCTGCCTGGCCCTCCGTGTCGATGTCTCTGGTAAAGAGAGGTCAAGAAGAATGAGAAAGGAACTCGACCTTCTGGAAAGGAGAGTGAAGTGTGAGTGAGTGTGCATGTGTGTGCGTGTGTGTGCAAGTGTGTGCCTGTGTGTGCAAGTGTGTGACTGTGTGCATATGTGTGAGTGCGAGAGTGTGAGTATGTGAGTGTGTGCATGTATGTCTGTGTGAGTGCAAGTGTGTGGATGTGAGTGTGAGTGGGTGTGAGTGCAAGTGTGTGAATGTGAGTGTGAATGTGAGTACACATGTGTGAATGTGTGCATGTGTAAGTGAGAGTGTGCATGTGAGAGTGTGAGTGCACTTGTGTGCGCACATGTGTGAGTGTGTGAATGTGTGTGAGTATGTACATGTGTGTGAGTGTGTGCATGTGTGTGAGAGTGTGAATGTGTGTGAGAGTGTGAGTGCACTCCTGTGAGCACAGGTGTGTGTGTGCATGTGTAAGTGAGAGTGTGAATGTGTGTGAGAGTGTGAATGTGTGTGAGAGTGTGAGTGCACTTCTGTGAGCACAGGTGTGTGTGCGCATGTGTGAGAGTGTGAATGTGTGTGAGAGTGTGAGTGCACTCCTGTGAGCACAGGTGTGTGTGTGTGCATGTGTAAGTGAGAGTGTGAATGTGTGTGAGTGTGTGAATGTGTGTGAGAGTGTGTGTGCACTCGTGTGAGCACGGGTGTGTGTGTGTGTGTGTGTTGGGGAGTAGAGGGTTAGCAATTCAAGACTTCTTTCTTGAGTACCCATGCTATTCCTCGATGAGGGCCCTGGGCTCCACTGTACAGTAGGGTTGGGGGCTGACTTCCCATTCCTTTGCTCTGGTTTGTCCCCAAGATCTGTAGCCTCAGACTTCTGGGAAAGAATGACCCGAGTATGGGTTCTTGTTCATCCTTCCCTCCCTCTTGCTTGTGTCTCGTGTCTGTGAGGAGAGAGACTGGGCCAGACAGAAGTGCTTCAGATTGTCTTGGACTCTTGGACTGGTGTGTGCTTGTGTGCGCATGTGTGTGTGTGCATGTGTACGTGCATATTTATGTGTGTGTGTTGGGATTAGTTTGGGGAGAATATTTGCCAGCTCTCATTTTCTTGCCCAAATGCAAATCCTAGAGGGTCCCTACAAGTCCCAAGTTAACCCTTGTCTCCCTGAAGACCTCAACCGCAGCAGCTCATCAGGACAGATCCGCACTGGCACACACAGCTCTTCAGAGCCCTGGCCTAAACTTAGGCCTCTGCTGCATCCACACAGACGCCACGTAGGCACTCTGCTTGGGCCACTTTCCCCACTCAGCCCAGACTGGCGGGGGCGGAGGTGGAAGGAGAGGAGCTGGAGAGCCCTCTCTGTTCAGGCTCCGTCTGGATCCGCCCTAGAAAAAAATACCAGCATGTTCTAAACCCAAACTTAGATAAGTCATAGACTCCGAATGCTGGAGCCAGAGAGAGAGAGCTACAAGCAGTGGACTCTTACCCTCGTCTCCTCGTCCCTCCCAACACTCATCTACTTAGGAAAGTGGAGGCCATGTTTCTACTCATAAGGAAGTCAGGCTCAGGGCTTGGCAGATGACTCAGTGGTTAAAAATGCTTGCCATGCAAACATGAGGGATGGAGTTCAGATTCCCATGACCCACCTAAATGCTGGGTGACCTGGCAACCCGCCTCTAAATCCAGCCTCAGGAGGTGGAGACAGGAGGTCCCCAGAACAACCTACCCAGAGCAAGATTATCCATATTAGTGAGCTCTGGGATTGACTGAGAGACCCTGCCTCAGTGAATATGGTAGAAGACAGAGGATGGCTCCCAACATCAACCTCAGGGACTCCATGTACAAGCACCTCTGTACACGTGTGCCCTACATATGCAGAGACGAGCACACACACACACACACTCACACACACACTCACATGAAAATGGAAACAGAAAAAGAAAATGAGTGAGTATTATGGCTCTTCTAGGATGGGCTTATCCTGCCCATGATTCAGAACCCTTTCCCTATCCAGCAAGGCCACACGGTTTCTTCTTTCTGTTCTCTCTTGTGTGCACATGAACAAACATGGCTGTGTACACTGGGTGCCCAGCATGGGGCTGTGGGCTTGCTGCTCAGAGCCCGCCGTGCTCTGGCCCATGGTTTGTGCGCAGGTGCCCTCAGCTCAAACGTCATCTCAGAGATTATTCCTCATCACCTAACTCTGTCACTCTAAGTTTTGTCTGTAGTCCTCTGGAATCATCCTGCTGACTTACTTATTGTTTAATTCTTGTACCAATGCCTTGCCTAATGTGAATCCCATGATTGCCAGAACTGATTTATGCTGTCTTCGGTTGTCTGGCGCTAATAAGAATTCAATAAATGCTTGTTGATGGAAAGAATGTTTATTTACTTAAAAAAAGTTTTAAAAATAAATTTCAAAAGTGTAAATTCTTTTGAGGAATCAGAGGCATCTACTGTAGTTAATATTGTAGTTATATTGTAGCTCATATTGTAGTTAATATTGTATTTCTATTGGAGTTCACATTATAGCTCACTTGTAGTTCACATTGTAGTTCATGTTGTAGTTCTATTGCAGTTGCATTGTAGTTCACATTGCAGTCCATATTGTAGTTGCCTTGTAGCTCATATTGTGATTCTATTGCAGTTCACATTGTAGTTGTATTGTAGTTCACATTGAAGTTCTACTGTAGTTCACATTGGAGTTCTATTGTAGTTCACATTGAAGTTCTATTGTAGTTCATGTTGTAGTTCTATTATAGTTCACATTGTGGTTCTATTGTAATTCACATTGTAGTTCACATTGTAGTTGTGCTGCAGTTCATATTGTAATTCATATTGTGGTTGTGTTGTAGTTCATGTTGTGGTTCTATTGTAGTTCACATTGTAGTTTCATTGTAGTTCATATTGTAGTTGTGTTGTAGTTCATGTTGTAGTTCTATTATAGTTCACATTGTGGTTCTATTGTAATTCACATTGTAGTTCACATTGTAGTTCATATTGTAGTTGTGTTGTAGTTCATATTGTGGTTGTGTTGTAGTTCATGTTGTAGTTCTATTGTAGTTCATAAGGAATTGCTGATGACCTTTGCAGGGCCCCTCTGTGTAGAGAAAGTGAGCAGGAATTCATGGATATAACTGCAACACCCTCAGCTTGGCCTTGAAGGGAACGGAGGACCAGCAGGGTTTGGGTTGTTAACTCCAGAGTTGTTTGAGTAGCTCTTGGGGGCGGTGGTGGTACATGTCTTTAATTCCAGTGCTCAGGAGGCAGAGGCAGACAGATCTCTGAATTCAAGGCTAGCCTGGTCTACAGAGCGAGTTCCAGGACAGCCAGGGATACACAGAGAAACCCTGTCTAGAAATCCCTAACCCCCCCAAAAAAAAAGAGAAAAGAAATGCTCTTGGAAAGGAGGTGACTGTGTGTGTAATGAAGGGACACAGGACAATTAGCTGATGGAGCCGAGGACCTAGGAGGAGGGAAGGGATATTGGGGACACCAGGGAGGGAACATCCATGAACCAAGAGGGCTTTTTAATTGGAAAGGGGGAAGAGAAAGAGGAATTGTAGATTACAGTGAGTGCTCAAGTCCAACGGTGGGTTGTGGGGCGACCCTTGCCTGAAGCATCAGTTTCCCATGTGTTAGGACCTGAGGCAGTTCACACGGGGATGGTGGGAAGGTGGTGGTGTTAGGGACAGGAAGAATGAAGGCAGCAGGAGGACTACAAAGAAGTCACTCCAAACCACCTCCATGAAGCCTTTCCTAATCTCGCTCCTCATTTTGAATGGATTTGTATTTTCTTTTTTAAAAGTGATTTGCTTATTTGGTGTGTGTGCACATGCCATGGTGCACTTGTAGAGGTCAGAGGACAACTTGAGGGAGGAGTCAATCTTCTCCTCTTCCCGGGTAGGTTCGGGGGCCACGGGGCCATGTAGGCAGATATTTATCTGTCTGTTCACTTATTTACCGCCCCAATTCTGACTGGCCAAACTCAAGACTCTGATAAAACGAAAGACGCCTTTCCTCTATGTTTGTCCTCCAAGAAAGCTTTGGAAGTGGCTCACACCTCCATGGGGATAACAACAGTGTAGAGAGTCTCACAGAGTGACTTTCTCATGCAGGGAAAGTGGTGGCCAACTTGTTTAGCCCAGGGCAGTACTCTTAAATGAGTAAAAACAAAATCAGGCTTGTATATATGATTTTATTCATAAATACATAACTCATTTTGTCTCAAGATGCCAGTCCCTTATTCAAGGTCTTTTAGGGGTGAACCAATTTCTGCTTTTCTAGTTCACAGGGGCCCGTCTATCTTGGAACTCAGAACCCTAAACATTGTTATAGGATATCTAAAAGACACAAGTAGACGCGTCAGCCCTCAAGTTCATAGCCAGGTCTACTCATTACCATGACACTGGGGCCCATGTTGGCTGGTGAAACAGTAATGTAAATGTGCCGATGGCTGTCAGCTTGACAGTGTCTCAGTAAGGGTTTGTCTAGCTCAGGCTGGGCTGTAAGCATGTCTTTTGGGGTACATCTTGATTTCCTTCATTGATGAGAGAAGACCTGGCCTGAAAGTGGCTGTCACCATTTGTTGTAACCGTCTTTGTGGGGCTTCAGTCAGATCCAGCTGACTTGTCGGATTTGTACCTGAGTGGGGGAGTGTGGACTGAGAGACAGCGCGTAAAGATGCCAAGAAAAAGACAGAGACACAGGGTAGAGTCAGGAGGACAACCAATCCAGCGAATACTGAATGTCCCAAGTTTACTCTTCAACATTCTTATCTACCCCAACCAAAAAGGGGGACATGGCAAAAGACTTCTTTATCAAGATACAAGGAGGAAACAGACCTTCTTCCTTAATTCTCCAAACATTTGGCAACCACACCCTAGAGTCTAGAGGTTTAGCGTATCCAAGTGGTGACTAACTTTTCAAGGGACACCATGGAGGTTGTGACGCTGTGTCAGCCGGAAGTGGAGGTGACTTCAGAGTCAGCAGATCCAGGCTTTCCTAAACCCGACGCTAACCAGCGACACCATCCCAACGGCTCAGCCTGTGGTCTTTGAGTCAGTGAGGAACTTAGACTACAGGTCCTCCCAGAAACCCCCAGCCCTGCTGTTCTGTCATTTCCATGGACCGTGTTGCCTTTCAGCCCGATAGAGCATACATGTATAAGACAAGGGCATGAGATGGTCCATGTGGTTTCTGTGCTTAGGGCGGGAACGCACACAGGGAAACTGAGTCTCTCTATTTCCTGGGTGGGAAAGTTGCTGGCGGGTAGGTCTGCCAAACTAATTCTCTGAGGAGCAAAGCTCCGGCCTGTTGTTCTCTGGTGGCTGCCTCTCTTTTTGTTTTTCACACTGGGTGAGCTAACACCCCCACCTGTCCTCTACCAAGTCTCCGATTCCAGTCAGTAAACTAAAAAAGGATATCTAATCTAGCTGGAACTTGTATTTAGTGTGTGCGTGCGTGCGTGCGTGCGTGTGTGTGTGTGTGTGTGTGTGTGTGTGTGTGTGTGTGTGTGTCAGGGGATAACTTTAAGGAATTACTTTTCTCCTTCTGTCACATGGGACCAGATATCCAACTCAGGCTGACAGACTTGGTGGCAAGCACCTTTGTCTTCTGAGAGCCATCTTGCCAGCCCTATCCATAGCCTCTTAAGCCGTACTGCTTTCCTCTCTTATTTCCGCTGAGTCTGATTTGGCATCTCTTCTGTTCGTGTCTCAGGAAAGGCTTCTTCCCAGGAAGATCAGACGTGAGAATCAGAAACAACAAGCTACATCTCCAAGCCTTGGAGGGAGCCTGTTGAGCTGGTTTCCGGGATATGGGCATCCGCCGGTCTTGCCCCCCTCATTGGCCTCCCTGACTTTGAGATAAAATTGTATGATGAAGGGTCCTGGGGTTCAGGTGTTGGCCGTTCTTCACAGACGTGTCCATCCCTTTCATGAGAGTGGGGTGCACTCTCACTTCTGGAGAGTGTAGGCAGCCCATAGGAAATGCAGAGGGGCAATCGCCAGGAGAACTGGGGGTTAAACACCCCGCTTTAGAATTGTAGTTGACGGTTTTTCTCTCCCCTCAGCACTTTGATGATACCATCCCGTCACCTCCCTCTGTAACTGCCCAGGAGAGATCGGCCATCGATCCTCTCGACTCTCCACGGTAAGACTCTATTTCCCCTTTGTTTGTTTTTAAAAGGAGTTTTCCTCTTTGTCACTGGTATTCTGAACTTTCGCTGTGACATCACTAAGTTAAGATTTATGTCTGTTTATTCCGCCCAGGACTCAGGTTCCTCTATATGAAGATTTGTGGCGCACAACTATCCAAATGGCAAATACAAAAAGGGAATTGTTGGTGCACAACTATCCAAATGGCAAATACAAAAAGGGAATTGTTGGTGCACAACTATCCAAATGGCAAATACAAAAAGGGAATTGTTGGTACACAACTATCCAAACAGCAAATATAAAAAGGAAATTGTCGAGCTTTGGCAGCGATGTGAGGAAAAGTTCTAGAAACTACTGAGGGAAATGTGTACACTGTCATCACACCACTGTATTCCGGGACACTAGTGAGGCAGGGCGTCCTAAAACCTCTAGTCAAGCGACTGTAATTTCAGGCATCCATCCTGGAGAAAACTAACACACACTTAGAGAAGAGAAAAAGGCACACGTTTGTTTGAAAGATCACGGTTTGTAGGTAAGAGAGGAAGATAGAATGCAATTAAACAAAATGTCTGTCCATAGGGGAATGAAAGAATCAGTTTCGGGATATTTGCAAATGAAGTCCTGAACAGCAGTTAAAAGCGAATCTGTCAGAGAGACCATACCAAGTAGGTGAATCTAGAAAGCAAAGCAAGGACCATAAAACACAAGCATCAGGCAGTAAACCCAGCATGACATCCTATCATAAATATTGACAACCCACAATCCTATACTGGTTATTGCTCAATAAGGAGAAGCCATAAGATCTCATTCTTTTTCTATACTGCAATAAAATTTAAAAATGACAGCCAAATATAAAAGTATTAAAAATGAGTCCTCTCAGAAATAAAAGTATAAGAAATAACTCCTGGCTTGAGGAAATAACCCAGACTAAAAACTACATAGAAATGATTTAACAATACTAGCTGGACATACATTTGTTTGAAGAGGGTAAATGGGAAATTTGTGAACCGCCTGGGGTGCTTCTATGGATATATAAACCTTAAACACCAAAAACCATTTGTTTTGAGTCAGTTTTGGGTCTGGGCTAGAGTCCTTGGCTCCTTATGTCTGTCTCCTGACCCGGGAGAAAAGGGAACCAATTGGAATACGCTCTCAAATTTTCCTTTAAGGAATGGGTAGGCAGGAAAGGACAAGGGACGTTGGGGAATGCGGAGGGATGTGAAATGGACAGTATTAGGTGGAGGGAAACTTAACGTAGGGACAAGAAGAGCATCAGGGATGGCCTTGTGCTGGGAGCCGGGGTGGCCAAGCACAGGAGGTCACTTGAAGACCCCGAAGGTCACCCTCGCATCCTCACAGCCAGACCGGGCAAAGTTCAGATTCAAGTACAAGGATGGGGGCCATGTTCAAGGTGTGGAGCCGGAGCGAGAGGAAGGCAGCAAGGAGGAAGGAGGAGATGGCTCAGAAGGCTGCGTCCCCGCGAGGAGAAGCAGGCCAAACACCGTCCCAGGGGACCGGAAGGGTGCCGGCTTCCTAACCCGAGGGCACCGTGGCCCTGTGCCAATGCAGAGGCAGGCGAATTTAACTGCATGACAGCTTCCTGCAGAAACTCAGGTGCTAAAGGGACATCCACGGGACCACCTCTGTGGAGGACAGGTTCTGACCGTGAGCTGCCCCAAGGCCATCATCACCTTCCTGAGAGTTACTGGGCTGGGAAGAACGCGACGGGACAGGAACGCACAGTAAGCCCACGGAACGCACAGTAAGCCCATGGGGGACACGAAGTCTAGCCGCGCCCCAACCCATTAAGGAAACTTCATGCTCATCCGTCTCGTCTTGATGTTAGCAAAGCAAGACCCCCATCCCCAGTGCTCGCCTGTCTCGCCCTCCCTTCCATTTAACCAAGCAACAGAGAGCTTGTTAACCCGCGCACAGCACTGGATATTAGCCCATTACTGTGGATAACCAGACACTACTAAATTTTGTCTGCCTTCTGTAGAAATAAAACCTGGGGTTGGATCAAACCTATCTGGAGGTTGATTGAAGCTGGTGGGTCTCTGAGTGTGACGTGTCTTGGGTAATCGTTACATAAATGTTCTTCTATTTAACACTGATTCTGGGGAACATTGCCCAGTAAATACTTGAGAAATTACATAAAACTCCAAAAGCCGTTCTTCATAAATTTCTTGAGTAGGAATTCATAGCCACAATGTCTGACATAGAGTAGATTATCCTGGATGTTAATTAGTCTTATGTTTTGGGAGAAACTGAGACATGTGTCTGGAGTTGTTGGGGCCTCCAGGTAGGGAGCCCTGGGTCTTGGCATTAGCGAAGTCTCTTAATTATTCCCACGGTGATGAGTTTCACAGGACGAATGGGACGGGGTCGACCAGCTGGCTCTCGCACACAGGTCATTGCTCTCTAGTGTCCCACACTTTGCTGTCATCATTTGACTATGAACCGGCACAGGCTGGTGCATAGCAAGTCTACCCACCTGCGGGCCTCCATCAAAGCAGAGTGTTATACACAAAGTCATGGGCTGGAGAGACTGCTCAGTGGTTAGAGCGCTCGATGCTCTTCCAGAGGACCTGGGTTCAGTTCCCAGCGCCCACATGGTGACCCAATACCATCCGTAAGTCCGAGGCGTGGGCATCCGATGCCCCCTTCTGGCCTCCCTGCGCATTGTATAGACAAGGTGCACATATGTATGTGATAATGCTCTTGGACACGTAAAATAAAAATGTATATTAGTACATAACGTCACTACCAGAGAAGAGATACCTGGGATATATAAGATAAATTCAGTTTGTGGAGCTTCAGTGGGGAAATTTGACACAGGTTTAAAAAGTTATTATTATTGACGGGGTCTCGCTATGTAGCCCTGGCTGGACCAGAATTCCCTTTATAGATCAGGTTAGCCTCCAACTCATAATACCTGCCTGCCTTAACATACTTTTTTTAAACTTTTAAATTTGAAAAATAGTATTTTTTTTTTACATTTTACTACTGTTATTCTTTTTTGTCTGTTTTGTTTTTCCAGAGAGGGTTTCCCTGTGTAGTTTTAGAGGCTGTCCTGGAACTAGCTCTTGTAGACCAGGCTGGACTTGAACTCACAGAGATTCGTCTGCCTCTGCCCCTGCCTCCCAAGTGCTGGGATTACAGGCATGCACCACCACCCGGTTATTCTTTTGTTTTATTCTCTATTTTTGTCTTCTTACAGCTTTCTAAGTTAGCACACAAAGGACTGAGTTTCATAGTGATGATGCGGGTTGCCATGCGTATGTGAAGCAGAGGGAGTACACTTATGCTTCTTTTTGCCCCCTCGCCATCAGGCGCCCCCTCCCCCATGAAAGTTTCCTTCCCTGTGTCTGGCAATCCCTCCTTCTGCTCTCATACGATGGTCATGTATGGTTCATAACCTCTGCTGTTCCACCTTTATTTTCGTTACCGTTAGTCAAGGAGCTGCCCGATCGTCACGCTCAAGGCTCTAAGCTCTTAAAGTTATTTAATACATTTATTTACAGTGTGTGTGTGTGTGTGTGAACATGAGCACGCACGAGTGTGTGTATGAGTGTGAGTGTAGATGCAAGCATGTGCACGAGTGTGTGTGTGCACGAGTGTGTGTGCACGAGTGTGTGCATGAGCACAAGCATGTGTATGAGTGTGTGAATGTGAATGTAAACACAAGTGTGTGCGTGTGAGTGTGTGTCTATTTGGCAGTCAGAGGACAACTAGCAGAGGCTGACTCTCTCCTTCTCCCCTGTGAGTCCTGGGGATGGAGCTCCCGTCATTTGGTTGGCAGCAGCTTCTTTCCTCCCTGGACCTCTCTCCAGGCCTGAGCCCTTAGCTTTAGGGAGGTTCCCCGAGAAGCAGGGACTTCGTTCCTTTCTGATATTGGTGTTAAAGTGACGGAGACCTAAGGGTTGGTAGAGCCAGTGTCAGGATAGCTGAGCATAGATGATCATGAACTGGGGGTGGGGCGTGGGTGGGGCGTGGGTGGGGCCCCGGGCAGCGCTGAGATATGGACCTGTGCCTTGGTAAGATGGTAGACACCTTTTTGTGGTTCTTAACAATCGAGAAAACAGTTGCTCAGAAGCTGACAAATTAGATTAATAGACTTCTTTACTAAAGTTGAGCAAAGGAACTAACACAGACTAAGTGGAATGGCCAGCAGAGTCCACGAGCCTCGTCTTTTCCTTTTGATCCAGGTTATAGTAAATAGTGTAGGCTGGCCTTGAACTCATGGCCTTCCTGCCTCATCCTCCTGAGCGCTGGGATGGCAGGCCCACACTTCTAGCTCAGATCATGGCTGGGTTTTTAGAGGTTTTATCTGCTCTGTCCTTACAATACTTTGCACTACTGTGTATTTTTTTTATACAATTCTACTTGGAACATGGACCAATGATGTTTGTGGACCCCATGCCTGTGGATTCTAAAGTGATTCTCCCCATGAAGGACAGTTGAGTCCATACCTCAGGGCAGGGAGAGAATCAGAGTCAACCTGTTGTCCTAGGTGCTGGAAGAAGGCCAGGTGGTCAGAGCACAGGGGATGGAAAGTCCATGAAGAGAGAAAAGGCAGCACACGCTCCTCAAACCATTTACTAGCAAGCTGCATAGTCATGAACCTGACCAGACCAGGTTTACTCTCAAGATCTTTTTTTTTTGTTTTTTTTTGACATGGGGTTTCTATGTGTAGCCTTGGCTGTTCTGGAATTCACCCTGTAGACCAGGCTGGCCTCGAACTCACAGAGATCCACTTACTTCTGCCTCCCAAGCATTGGGATCAAAGGCATGTGCCACCACGGCCCACTTTACTCTGAAGATTTTTTAATAGTCAACTGTTTACAAATGCAGAATGGTATTATTCTGATAAAGCAACAACCCTTGGCCTGACATTGTCAGAAAGGGGCATCTTAGGACTATCTTGACCCCAGAGATGGCTGTGAGCTGTGGCTTATTTGCCGGGACGGAACATGAGCGGATTGGAGAGAATAGGATTCTCCAGTCACCCTGGAGATTCTGTAGGAACAGGTTCTAGGTTCTCTTCTTTTTACAGTGGTCAAGGACTGCCCTTCCTGCGCGCCTCCCATGAGGAACCAGGTGAGTTTCATCAATGGCATTAGGATTTCCTTGCATAGTCTGGGATGATGCTCATTGTGCCTAAGACCCGCCCAGCCCCTGGTTACTGTTGTGCCCAAGTCGCAAGGTCCAAGAGACCAGGGAGACAGGCCACCGATGCAAATGCACAAGGTTTATTGATTGTTCTATCCTTGGGCACGGGAGGGACCCCGTCTAGCAAGCTGACGCAGCAGCCTCCAGAGGGGGTGAAACTCCCTGTCTACTGCCAGGTTTTAAAGACAAAAGTTACAGGATGACATCAGTAGGTACGGGTTGGCTTCTGATTGGATGACATTTGGGGAACAGTCAAGAGATTTTTGGCTTGCAATACCTGTGTAGCCATTTTTCTCACAGGTTGGTACTGGGAGGGAACATTCTGTGGTTTCTATGGCTTGCAGGTGGCCTATTATACTAATATTTTTCAGAACTGAATTTTCCTGGAGACTACAGGGGAGTTTCTTTTGTGGTCAAACAGCCCCCAGGATCCAAGTACCTAGGAGGCTGGGGGGTTTGGAGTTCCTTTGTGTTCAGTTTCGGCCCTAGGCCTGTTGCATACAACATAGCCTCTAGGAGAAGGCTGGGGGAAGGGGATCTGGAGTTTTGGCTCTTCATTTACAGTACAGAGGGACTGGATACCTACATCCAGGCAGCACAACCAGCAAAGGGTTCACGTGACTTTGGAGTCCTAAGATGGGCAATGATGTCAGAGGATGGTGGCCACAAGCCGACTCCTGAAGTGGAGGATGAGGCTTCCCGTGGTTGTCCTTTGGGACGACAGGATCACAATAACGTGTGACATGAGCACCCAAAAGAAGCCCTCGGGCAGGGGGGCTCTAAGGGTGACTAAATAAAGAACTCAATCATGGGCTCTTAAAGGCGCCTTACACACCGGAGCCAACTGCTCTCTTCCCCCACAGGACATCATTTGGAGTTTAATTAAAACCTAGAATGCTTCCAGAGAAGAAAGAGTATTTCCCATGCTCAGTCCAGCGGTAGAACCCACCACAGACACCATTTCCTCCTTCCACTGGCTTGTGTCCAATGTTTATTGTGGTACACCCAATTATTCACAATGCAGTTCTTTTTTTGTTTTTTGTTTTTTTGTTTTTGTTGGTTTTTCGAGACAGGGTTTCTCTGTATTGCTTTGGAGGCTGTCCTGGAACTCGCTCTTGTAGACCAGCCTGGCCTCGAACTCACAGAGATCCGCCTGCCTCTGCCTCCCGAGTGCTGGGATTAAAGGAGTGCGCCACCAACACCCGGTCACGATGCAGTTCTTTTAAATTTGTTTTTAAAGATTATTTTATGCGGATGAGAGGTTGACTGCATATACGTGTCTGCACCACTTGTGTGCAGTGCCCATGGAGGCCAGAAGAGGGCTTTAGATGCCCTGCAGGTGGGGTTACAGATGGTTGTGAGCCACCATGAGGTTGGTGGGAAACAAACCCAGGTGCCCTGGAAGGGCAGCCAGCGCTCTTAACCACCGAGCCATCCATCTCCCCGCCCCGGAAAGCAGCGGGAGGGAAGGAAGGCAGATGGCACAATCAGCAACAGCAGCAGTGTGACAGAAACGTAAAGCGCTATGTCTCCTGGACACACAGGTAGAGCAGCACCAGGTTGTTTGTCTTTAAGAAGGGACACGCATCTGTTTGACGTCAGCCAGCAATTTACAGGCTGGAAGTCTCACCTCTGACATTGTTCACTGCTGTTTGGTGACATCCTGCTTGTGGCTAGGCACCTTGCAGGTGTCTGGATCAGGGGACGTTGGTATGCATGCTTTCTGGTTGCAGCCTGCCTGGCATTTCCTGGAGACAGGACAAAAGACAAACGTATCAGATAATTAGAAATTAAACGCGGTGTCTTTGATTTACCTTTAAATGTTGTTTGTCGCCAATGAATGTACCCTGCG